GGGGGAATACGTTCGCGAGGGATAAAATGGAGAATGACAAAGCGCTTCAGAATATCCATCACCGAAAGAGTGACGGTGAAAGAAATCAGAAAACACAAACATGTACGGTCGCAATAACTATTATAACATTATAACACGGACAAAACTTTTTGTCATGTTAACAAAAGGTAGGTAATCAGCAAGACGAAATCCCGAAGATCTTTTTAATTAACTCGAGAGTAGTCTGTAAAGACAGCCACTGTCCCCTGCTTCTTTTGAAAAAAGACAGACACCGCGCGCGCGCGCGCACACACACACACACACACGCACACACACGTGCACACACACGCGCGCACACACACACACGCGCGCGCACACGCACACACATACACACAGACACAAACATACACACAGACACTTACATACACAGACACACATACACACAAACACACACACAATGGAAGCAACAACACGCATGTGCGGACGTAACAGGAAGTAAATAACTTTCAGTAGCAATAATTGGTGTTAGGTGGAGAGGGAGATGGAGCGGGTATGTTAGTTTTAGTAGAGCTTTTACGGCGCTCGCAACAGTATAAGCGCCAGTAGATTAGAGGTGTTACAAGAGAGTAACAAACACAAAATAGAAGGAGGGGAGAAAAAGACGATAGATGTTTGATAGTGGTAGGAAAGAAGGAGCAAACCACACGAGACCGCCCGCCAACCACCCACTAACACCTCTCTTCTTCGGCACTTTTGTGACCTACACACAAAAAACACAAACACACTTTTTTTTTACACACAAAAAAACAACACATACATACACAAAGAGACACAAAACCACAAACTCACATACAACAAATAATAATAATATTATGGTCGCTTATTTTAAGCACAAGGGAGCTATCCCGAAAAATGCTGTTTTGAGAAAATCGAAGGTGACGTTTTTTTCCCTTGTTCAGTTTCTTTAAAAGACAAGGAGAGTTTTCTCTCTAACCAAACAAACAACAAAACTTCTCCTATTGGTAGGGCAATACCTACTTTTGGTGTAGGTCAAGATTTCTGGAAACCCCAGAAATCTGGGCTAGCCCGCTTGTCCTTAAAAGCGAAGACATCAGCTTTCCCCACATTATTTATCATAAATTTTATTTTTTGGGGGGCATAATTTCTAATTATTTTCCTTTAACATTCTTTGTTAAAATTAAAAGAATCGCATAATTTCACATTTTTTGGCTCAGTTTGCATAATTTTAGAACATTTTTTTTTTACATAAAACTTCGGGGACATCCATATATAGACACACCGTCAACAACGACGGAAAAATGTACTCTCTCAGTCCTTTAACAAGCGAGGGGGCCTGAGAAGGCGTGAAATGTGTCAACCTCCTTGTCACAGCCGCTAAAGGGTTAATCTCTCTCAGTCAAGACACTGGGGGATCTGGATCTCACCGCGCGCTGAAGGCACCGGCCCGTCGAGAGAGAGAGAGAGAGAGAGAGAGAGAGAGAGAGAGAGAAAGAGAGAGAGAGAGAGAGACAGACAGAGAGAGAGAGAGAGA